GTCTTTTGTTTTTCCTCCAACAACTGCTGCAATCTCTCTTCTTGTTTAATTTCTCGTTATTCTTGTTTCTTTTCTTGTTTAATTTCTCGTTCTTCTTGTTTCTTTTCTTTTTCCTCTCACAACTGTTGTAATTTCTCTTCTCGTTCTTCTTGTTTCTTTTGCTGTTCTTGTATTGCTGCCATCAAGTCTGCTAGGCTGTAGTTTGATTTGCCGCTTCTCGTTTCCATTTTCTTTTTATCCCACTTCTGACACCAATTTGTTACGTCTCCGTTTGTTAATTAATTTTCCGTAACTTCGTTCCGACGAAACTTTAGCGACACAAGTCCTTACTTAATAAAACTGGTTTATTCTTCCTGAATATAACTTCACGATACACTTGATTTCAACATTCGCGCTAAAACAAACGCTATAACGAACGTTAACTTCAACAATACTTTCTCACTACAGATCAATTACTCACTACCTACACACACATTGATCCCGTCACGTTGTGACCATCTTATATATACTAGACTACCCTATATCTAGTAATCTTCCGACAATTCACGAAGTTACAAGATATTACCAGAAAGCAGGGGGTGTGACACTAGTCATGTGACCTCGCTGACGCAACAATATCATTTCGTAAAGAGACTAAAATTGTACACACTATTTATTACAAGTTAAGCATAACAATAATTTTATATTTAAAAAAATATCTCTTGACTTGTAATCAATAAGTCTATAAATATATCCTCAAATTTTGTTAGCTTTACTACTAGCTACAGACCACTACTTTAACAGCTTAACCCTACTGACTCGGGTCATAGGCCATGTCATCGCGTTTGTTGACTTGCATTCAAAAGTTTATTGCACTACTGTTTTATGAAATTGTGTTAATAAGTTTCATATCAAATTGTAGATTACAAATCAAATTTTAGTATTATACATTAGTTCATTTCTTAAAAGTTTATATTAAATGAACACACCTAAATATTGATTTTTGTGTGTCTAAGTAGTGCTTTGTTGAATGCAGCATTGGTTCAAATTATATGTATGTGATGTCCAAGTACAAAGTCTATAGTTTTATACAAATTAGGAATTCAAATTACCTATATTGATAAGCTAGAATATAAAATAATGAACCTCCTATCTTTTCTATCTGCTGAGATATCGCTCATGTACTGAAACACACACAGTGGCCCTGCCACCTCTTTCCACTTTCAGAAACACTTCCTTATGTACACTTACTTCAGTCTATGATGTGTGAATAACCAATCAAAAGCTCAGAATGTTTCCCTAGTGGCTTTCTCAGCCATTTTGAAGTATTATGATATCAACTCTTTCTTTTGAAATAAGACTTCAAGCTAGTAATTTGAGTCTTTAGTTGCCTCGAAATTTCATATTTCTTTAGACCCAAGTACAGCTTAGTTGCTGAGTTTGATAAATTATAGTGGAATTCTATGGTATTGATGTAGTAATTTATTATTTTCAGTTATTTCAAATGTATATATATATATATAAAACCTAAAAAAAATTATTTTGTTTCACATCTTCCACGTGAGAAATCTGATAAGGCTTAACAACCTATGTCAAGCAGCAAACGAGTACAAAGTTCGTAACTAGAAGAGATAATTTTTGCTCTACTTCTTTATCTACTGTTCTATGTTGTAAGAAAAAAATTTAAGAACTTATTTGTAAATAGTAATAATGAATGTACATATATAATGTATTATAACAGAAATGTGACAGTATTTTACAAAATACTAGTCCACTAAAACCTTTTACCTTAACAATAAAGCTCATTTTTAATCATTGTTCAATTAAGTTTTAAAATCTGTACTATTTGTTTATATTCTTAAAGCTTAAATATCCAAATTCAAGGTTTTACCTTAACAATAAAGCTCATTTTTAATCATTGTTCAATTAAGTTTTAAAATCTGTACTATGTGTTTATATTTTCATCATTTTAAAGGAGAACATCTCTTCAAGTAATATACACACATATTTATATACATTTAATCAATAAAACAAGTAAAACGCCGTGTCAGTAAATTTATAATTTACCAATCTTCACATTGCTGCTTGGAGCTGAGCCTGTTTCCAGCTTTATAGGAATTTCTTCTTGACTCTTTACTACAAACGAATTCTTTGATTCTGTTGGAGTGATATTCATGTTGATTCTAATTTAAAACAAAACTGCATTTAGATTCTCAAACTTTCTCACATCAAAACCATTAAAACAATACAGTTTCAACCTAGGATGCTTTAAGTAATTATAATAATAGTTTTTTTGCACTTCCAAATTTTCTTATGTTTTCACATACTTATAAATATGGAAGCTTTATAAGAACACTGACAAAAAACTGATAATACAAAACTTATTCTTCTACCAATATGTTTATGAAAAGAGCCTTATAATAGAATGAAAAATACCTAGCACAAATATATTTGCTATATGAAATACCCTAAATCCTTTCAAAATAACATAATGATTGAAAATTCTATGAAACACAAGAATGACATCACTCAGTTTAACTCTATCCCATTAACAATCCTTTGTTTTCTCTGCATCAACCACCCTACAGTCCAGTTAGTAGTGTTTCACCTGCCACAGTTAATTAAAATTACCATTAATTTCACCTTTCCGTAACTACTTTAGAATATCTTTTAATATGGCATATTCAGGTAATTTTTCTAAATTTTTTTTGTAAACAGGTGATCTAGATATAGTTACGACATCCTTCGAAAGTGGACATCAAAAGGTGTAAATATGTTCTAACTGTGAAGGTCAGATAGAGCAACAGCTATATCACAGAAGTTTGCATCAGTTTGGCCTTTTGCCACTTTCTGGAGTGGGGCTGGCTATCTTATGGAGTAACACACATACAAGTTGCTATAAACTGAGCGTTCTCTCCCTTGAATATCACATGAAGCTAACAATTTCCCAATGCTCCTTGAATTTCACTTTTGGCACTTAAACATTTAAAAGGGTGTGTCTCATTGGCACAAAAAATATCACAGTGATCAACTCATACTAGATAAAACAACACTGTCATTTCTGACCAGTATAAAGAGGATTGTACTCTGGGCATAAATCAAGATTTAATTTTTTGCATCATGAATTTAAGATTTTGTGGCCTAAAACCATTGCAAATGCAGAATTTCTTTTGCTTGCTTATATTATCTGTTAACTTGTAGATTATTTGGATGATGCCTACTAAGTTGTCAAACTATTAACCACCAAAATTGAAATTGTACTGGACATATACAGACATTTAAGGCTTATACATTTATATATATATATACATGCCTTAAATGTCTGTATAGATGTTAATATTACTATTACTTGCCTTATACTATATCTAGGCCAATATTAACATAGTGAGTAGCAATGAAACAGGTGTTCTAATACTAAGCAGGAGGTCTACATACAGGTCTGGGCAACACTGATGAAGACTTGAATGCTGGAAATCAAGGTTATATAACACTTTATGTTTAGAATCACTGCTACAATGGAAGTTAATATTTTCCTACACTGAAAATATATTTCCAATAGATACTTACCTATTCTCACAGTCACAGCTACTCTCGATTTGACTACCCTCTGGTGCACAAATTTTTGGTTGCCATTCTAGTATATTTTTGCATAATTTCTAACATAGCCTAGTGCTAATAAACAGTAAACTAGGCCTACACTACAGTATAGCACATGGTCATAACCTATAGATCACACATCGTAACACACTGCCTTGCACAACTCGCTACTTGTAATTCAGTAATGTTAATCCTAGCTAGCTAATGTAGTAGACCTAAGCCTTTGGTGGGTTTGCACATAAAATTTATCGAGCTGTTATTATTGACATATCCTACTTCCATTCATTCTCTAAACAAGAGCCTACAGGTGTGAGGTCACAATGAAAGGGCGGAATAAGGTAACAATTCCAAATCTATAAAGAAAAGGATTGTGTGTAGAGTGGCTAGGGTGCGTCAGACTGTATGTAGGAGGTCAACTCCAGTCCACACCAGTGGCACTGGGAGGAACTCGACCAGCCCATGGAAGGAGGAGAGCCCTCAACCATTCACTTCAAGCGTGGAACCAGAAGGGAAGATGGGACTCTGTTCTGAGAACCTAAACCATCTTGTGTGCAAATCCAGCACAAACTACAACAATAAACCTCGGGAATGTACATTCTAATGATGTCAGGAAAATGGAAATGCAACTTGGAGAGTCAATTCCAGTCCAAAACCAATCAGCATTGGGGATGTAACATCCAATCTGTAGTAGGAGGAAGTTGCCAACCCACTCACATGTGAAGACTTATAATGGCTGGTCCAGCTCTAACCAAAACCAGTTGCCCAGGGACTGTATTCAGCAGTAATAGGAGGGAGGGGCAAACTGCAAAACAGACAGAAAAATCCAGTCCAGATTGGCAGCATCTGGAATAAAACATCAGACCAGCAGCAGGAGGATAGTCATGCCTTCTACAAAGGCAGAAAACCACCACCCTACTCTTGACTGAGTAGAATTTTGCACACTCAGGAGGGTTCCTACATGATTCACTACCCCAGCAGCCAGCAGCCAGGAGCTGGTGAGTGGTAAGGGCTCCAATATACTCTTCTGGAAGAAGGGGAGGGGAGGAAACACGTTGGGGAGTCTAGAGAAAGAGCAATGGGTGACCATGAAACACTATTTTGAAAAGCAGATTGTTCCTGATTCGGCAATCTAAAGAACGTTAGGGATGGGAAGCAATTACTTTCTGCTTTACTCCTGTTAGTTCATGAGTGCATATATTTATGACACAATATGCCATGAGGAAGAAACTACAAACAGTCTTGTGGAATACTCCATCTCAATAGTGAGCGTGATAGATCTTATAAATTTCATGGTGTAGATTTTGGATATCAGTAAACCTGGATAGGCACCACATTCACGACAGAGTGGGATCCATTCAATGTAAAGTAAGCCCCTGAACAAAATAATGAAATAAAATAACTTACTCATTCAGAGTTGTACAGACACATGGAGAATGGCTTCAAGGGGAAGACCATATAAGGTTGAGCAGGAAACTGCCAGATGGTGTAAGTAGTGGGACTCAAAAGTGTAGGGAGTGGTCAACATGTCAGTCTGGATAATCTGCTCCATAGAAGGACGGAAATGAACAGCCAAGGACAGTGTGAAGTGATCGTTTGGTTTATTTTGAATTTTGTACAAAGCTACACAATGGCTATCTGCACTAGCCATCCCTAATTTAGCAGTGAAAGACTGGAAGGAAGGCAGCTAGTCGTCACCATCCACCGCCAACTCTTTGGTTACTCTTTTGCCAATAAATAGTTGGATTGACTCTTACATTATAGTGCCTTCACAGCTGAAAGGGAGAGCATGTTTGGTTGGATGGGGATTTGAAGCCGTGACCTGCAGATTGTAAGTTCACCACCTTAATCACCTGGCCATGTGAGGTGATGGATCTGATGGGACAAGACACAGAACAATTGGCAAGATTCAGGAGAAAGGTAGGAATATGCAATAGGGATAACCTGATAAACCCAACTAGTAAGGGTAATAGAAGAAATATCACAAGAAATGGGTGGATTCCAATGGATAAACAAATAGGAGAGAGAATCATTGAAATGTGCTTTGTTCAACATTTAACCCAGTAAAGCATTGACCAGACCAGAAGATGATCCGGATTTGAATGGGATTAAGTATGGGATATGGAAGGAAGGGAAATAACTGGAGAGGAAAATCCATGGCAAAAATGAAATGTGGATGACAGGGCTGCCCTATAACCTGAAATGGTTGAAAAGGACATACCCTTGTCAAACAACCATGTAAAATATCAGATACTCGAGGAAGGGAAGAATCCATGATGGATAGACCAATGACGGAATATTCTCCACCAAAATTGATACACAGACATAGATCAGGAATGGATAGTGTGAGACAAGAGGGATGCTATACTACAAATGTGGATAGTCCTGAACACATGGCACACTAGCCCCCACATGTAATTAATCTGCAAAACATTGGGCCTGAATCCAAATATCAAGCAAAGTAGGGAAAAACAAAACTCAGAACTAGGTGCTAGAATTAATAAGAAAGGGGAAGGATCAAATGACATATGTGACAAAGACAAAAAACACAACATACCTGTGATATCAAGTCTAAAAATGATGACTGAGGTCTAAGTGCTTCAACAGACTGAAAATATGCCTGCACAGCAAAGGAGGCTGTCCAAGTCCACATTATCTTGATCTAACTCCTCAGGTAATGGCAGAATTGCTTGTAGACTGGGAGATATCTCAGCCCACAGGAAAGAAGCCATTGTCACAGGCTGTTGAACACTGGTACCGTTGGTAGCCATTGTAGTCATTATATTAAATTGTCTGTCTTGAATATGTCATTTAGAATAGCCATTGCTCTAATTAATCTACAGACTTGGGAATATTGTCGTAGGATACCCTTGTCTGAGTTGAAAGTGTGGTATAACATTATTCTTGCTGTACTTGTCCGGGCAAGTGTTTGGAAAGCTGCTTTACCCCCAGTGGTCAATTGAACTAACAAGTAAGTTTTGTGTTAAATCATACACATTCATGCAAGGTGTGTTTTAGTTATTTCACTTGTGTGTATTTTCCTAGGTTCAATAAATTCTCTGCATAATATTTTGGGAATATGTTGTATCATGGACACTTCTGGTTATCAATTGGATATCAGTGTATTTGAATACCATACCCTAACCCTGCAGATGATTTTCTTAGCTAATCTTCTATGTGGCACCTTATCAATTTTTTTATTTTTAACACCTACATACACCAAATTTCCCACCCTTTAAATAATATCCTCAAAAAAAAAGTTAACAGCTTACTAAGACAAGACTTCCTTTTAATGAATCCATATTAGTTCTCTTTAATCATATATTTCATTACATTTTGCTACAGCTTATTTAATCACACTCTAGAATTTTTCGTATTACAAAGGTAAAACTAATTGACCTATACATGTAATTTTCAAGATAAATTTTATCAATACTTTTAAAACAGGAGCAACGTTACCAACTCTCCAATGCTCAAACACCTTCCCACTAATTATTGACTACCAATAAATAAAGCACCTATCTGATGTTTGAGCTATTTGAAAAACCTTTCTGGTCCTAATACTTTATTCTATATACTTTATTTAGCATACTGCTAACAACCTCTCTTGTAAAAAGAGCACCAAGAAAAAAACACAAACTCCGCTATCTCAGTTAAAACCCCCATTAATTAAAATGGATTAAAAATTGGCTTGACAATTAAAAAGAATATGGATTTTATGAATGATAAAAGCTGCATGCCTTCAGCTGAATGCTTATACTGTTCTGGGATATATTTACACAATTTTGAGTACAGGAGTAGAAAGGTTATCAATACATTGTACAAACTTTGGTAAGGTCTCATTTGGATTTCTGTGTTCAATTCTAATCCCCCCTTTTTATAAAATATTGATTTGTTTGAAAAAATGGTAGGTTGCTAAAATGATCCCTGGTTTGAAATAGCCACCCCGGCTCAGCAGTAAGTCTGAAGGCTTATAATGCTATAAACAGGGCACTTGAGTAAGGAAGCACATTATGTTACAATAATAATAGGTAAGCAAACAATGATTTATAAGCATCAGGAAATGTTTTATTGAAGGTGGAACATACTACATGTTTTAACATATCAAAATATGTAGTATATTCCACCATCAATAAAACTTTTTCCTTATGCTCATAAATCAGTTTGCCTACTTGCTATTAAAAATGGGGTTTAAACACCCATAGTGGGCACAAAACAGATAGTCCAGTGAGTAGTTTTGAGCTTAATAACAAAAGACTAAAATTTGAACTTGTTTTTTCTGGAGTGCAAAACAACTGGTGGTGACTTGATTCAAGTGTTTAAAATTGTTATGGATTTGAATAAACTGCCAATGGAAATTATACTGAAGAGGAAATTCTCAACACATATGGAAGCTCAGGTCTAGGCTCATTATTATGCAGCATTTTCTCTCTATTAAATTTATTAACCTTTGGAGTGGTTTGCCAAATGAGGTGGTGTGTGTGGGTGCTGATAGTTCAAGTTCCTTCAAGTTTATTTTTAAGGTGAGGACTGGTTTATTAACTGAGCAACCTTAATGGTTTTCTATCACTTATTCTTTCATTTTCATTCAACAGTTTTATTAACCTTGTGTAAGAATGTTTGACTCTCAGTTTTGGTACATTACATATATAATAACGATATTAAATTCATCTAAACTGACTGTACGATGTTTGACTGGAATGCAATGTAAAACTTACAAGAAATAATTGTAACAGACAAAATAAATATTTAAGGAATCATCAAATAAGCATGCTTTACATGCAACGTATTAACAATATGAGAGGATGATTCAGCAATATTAATGAGTGTTATAATTTTAAACAATAGACTATGTACATTTATGTTTAATTCTATAAAACACTGAAAGATTTACTCACTTTAAGCTTTTTTATTTATAAACTTCTTAATCTCCTCACTTTGGGGAAATATAAACTTAGTTCAAATGCCATATTCAAATTATTTTAACATATTACATAATGTTCAGGGAAACAAAGGATCTATTGGTCCATCTTGACTGTCCCATCCTCTAAACTAAAACTATTAAATAAAAAACTCTCAAAGCCAGCCCTTATCATTCATATAGTTATCAAGCTTTATCTTAAACTCACATGAATTTACTGCCTCCACAATATCTAAAGGCAACCCATTCCAAAGGCCAACCACCCTGTTATAAAAATAAAATTGCCTAAAGCCAAGTAAAAAAAAAAAACTTCAGCAATGAAGTTTTTGAAAAAAGGGAAGGATGTCCTTTTTATTTAATAACCTCTTTAAGAAAGCTTGCATCCTTTTTTTTTCATGATTGTTGCTTGTTTTCAAAGGGTTGTTTAATTTTTCATCAAAACAATACAGAATTTATGACAAATAAAAAAAAATGGCAAAATGAATCAACTATGTTCATCCCATTTTTTATTCAGAAGTTATCTTTGTTTCTTTGTATGATCGAAAAACAATAATTAAAAGTCATGTGATGCAGCTGCAAAAAAGGAAGTAGACAGGGATGTTAAACATGTATTTTTTTTTACTTAGCCTTAGCTAAAGATGACTCCTATCCTGTCAAAATTTATATTTGTGTCCCCTAATCCTACCATTCTTACAATTAAGTATGAAAAACAATTTATGCATCAGCACTTTTAATTCCCTTAACAATCTTAAACACCTCAATCAAATTCCCTACAACTCTTTTTTTTTTGAAGAGAAAATAATTTCAGAGATTTTAACCTTTTCTTGTATGATAATCCCTCCATCCCAGGCACCATTCTAGTAGCCCTCCTCTGAACCCTTTCCAACAATTCAATGTCCTTCCTAAAGTAAGGAGCCCAAGACTGAACACAATACTCCAAGTGTGGCCTAACCAGTGACCTATACAATGAAACTATAACCTCTTTACTCATATTCAATATTTCTTTTTACCTTTGCCTTGTGTCCTCCACTTTTCTCACTTGTCGAGGAGGGGGTGGAGGGTGAAGCAGCAGGAAGCAGCTGTGCACTGGCTAATATAAGCTTCCTCTCTGTGTCTTTAATGTCTTTGAAGGTGACATTTAAATGCATCTACAATGTTCACAGAAACTGCTTCAATTGGAAGATTATTCCATGCATCAAGTACTCTTTGAAAGAAAAATAACTTCATTAAATACAATCTGAAATTTATATACAGTTCTAGAATTATTAACTGTAAAGAAATCTGCAACATTTAATCCTTCAAGGCCTTTAAAAAATTTTAAAGACCTCAATAACAATGTAGATACAATTTAAAATCCTATTTGCCCTACTACTAGCAACAGCACACTGCTTGATTGGCTTAACAGATTGATCAACCACTATACCAAGATCCCTTTCTTTCATAACACTTTTAAGGTTATTCCCATTCAAATTATGACAACCCACATCCATTTTCTCACATTTATTATAATTAAAGCCCATCTTTCATTTATTTCCTTTTGTAAATCAGTAGCATCTTCCTCACAGCCAGCAACACCCAAGACCTTAATATCATCAGCATATTAAATTAATTTATGATCATTCCTTCATCTATGTCACTGACATAAATTAAAATGAACAAAGGTCCTAAGACTGACACTTGTGACATAAAATTATTCCAGTTTGACTGAACTGCATTTATAACATCCCTCTGCTTTCTTCCATCCAGCCAATTAGCTAACTTATCCCCCACACCTATAGAGATAATTTTTACAAGCCTTTTATTAGTTTTATGTCCCATCTTGTCATATGCTTTCTACGTATGTTCCGACTATTGCATTCATGTCTACTTTGAGAAGAAAGAGAAATGATAGATTTTTTTTCCTACAACACAAGCACAGTAGTAAATTCCACAAAATCCAGCCATTTGTGTTTCAGCCTTTATCACACCTATGAAGTGTTAATGTAGTAGATCTAAATGTAAAACAAAAATTTACCCCCTTTTTACTTTTAGTACCGTATATTGCATAGGCCAAAGAAGGGAGACAAAATTTAAAATTATCTTTAGAGAACTGACAATTTTTTGAACTTGTTTCATGATATAAATGGAAGTTACTTCTATGCTTACTTAGTACAATCTAATGAATAATTATTGAATTATGCTTAGTAGTAGTACTGCTACTAGTAGTACTCAGGACGTTTGTTCTTTTCCATTCTTAAATTTTAAAACAACTTCAAGTTGTGAAGCAGTCTACATTAAGAACTTATGTCTGAAGTTATTCTAAATGGCGCGATTATTTTAGCTTTACACAAACACTGTAAGTGTAACACTAACACCTAGAAAATAACTTAATAAAAAAATAGTGGTGTATATATTCATAATTCTACCTTTTATTTTCACTTTTTAAATAGCTAACAGTACCTATAAAGTTCAACGCAACATTCAGAGAAGTGACCATTTGGTTTTTCAAAGCTGTCTCTTCACACCTATCGCAAAAGTTAACAAAGTAGTAATGAGTTAAAAGTTATACAATTGAGAGTTTGAATATAATGTAAGTTTACACTTATGCCGTTTAGTGGCCGCAATTTACGTTTTGTAAAGAACATACATTAACACTTACAAGTTACAGTGACACTCAGTAAACATAAAAAAATTACCTTGAAAACTTCCTCACAGGCCCAGGAGATCAGCGATAAGACTGAAGTGAAAGGTTATAAATATAATATAATGCTAAAAACCATGTTTCGATATCCCTGATAGTCGAGTACAGTTAATGAGAACAACAAACAAACAAGCTGAGTACTTTGTTTTCACACTAGTTTGAAACTAGTTTCATACTTTGTTTTCGTAGAAAAACGAGTTAACAGTACAATAACTTGCTTAAATTGTTTTATAAATTCTGCAAACATCTAAGATGAAATTTACGCGCCATAACATCGAATAACGTGTTTCAAAAGTAATCAGATTATGATTGGTTCATATCTGCTATGAGATTCAATAAAATACACTACATAAGCAAAAATGACAAATATCTATAGGGTTTTTAATCCATTTTATTTCACCATATAGTAACCTAAATTAATTTCGGTATGTTAATAATTGTCAGATTTTATGTATGTATGAGCCATATTATTTACAATAGGTTTTTGTGACTTGTTGGCGATAAATGTCAACAATAAACAAACAGTCTACTTGTTTTAAATTAATATATTAAAGAAACTCAAACGTTTATACAAGTGTTCGTTACACAGTGTAACTTACACTGTTGATTATCAAAGTTTTATAAGGAGCTTTAAATAATTATATCTTTTTCGACAAAGTCCACACAGGCTGGTTCAGTTACTTTACAACACAATTTGACAACGTAAATTACTCTTCCTGCTCTGTTATTACAGTACAATCTGCTATACTTTCACTTTAAAAAAAAAAAAAAAATTTAGCGCAGATAGCCCTCGTGTAGCTTTGCGCGAAATTCAAAACAAACAAACAAACAAAACTTTAAAATCACCACTATAACTGTTGGTTACCACAGCTGTATCTAGAGCTTTAAAAAATTGTCTCGTTTCGTCAAAGTCCACACAGGCTGGTTCAGTTACTTTACACCACAATTTGACAACATGAATTATTCTTCTTGCTCTGTTATTACAGTACAGTACAGTACATGTCCTATAGGCCATCAACAGTGGAGGGAGTAAGACATTCCAGTCATCTTGGTGGCTATTACAAAACTTTGCCAATTCCTGTCCAAGTGTCCAGTTGTACTTTTCTACCATCCCATCAGACTGTGGGTGAAGTGGCGTTGTTCTGGTCTTTTGTATCCCAAAAAACTTGCAGCATTCATGGAACACAGCTACTTCAAAGTTACGGCCTTGATCTGAATGCAGTTCATACGACATACCAAACCTGAAGAAGAAATCACTAATAGCCATTGCTACAGTTGTAGCTTTCTGATTTGGTATTGCATATGCCTCAGTCCACTTGGTGAAATAATCCATCACCACACAAATGTACTTGTTTCCAGCACGAGTTTGAGGCAATGTGAATGGCTACTCTTTCCATTGGAGCGCCAAATTGATATAACTTCATTGGAGCACGTCCCTTATGCTTGGGTCGCCTTTTAGCCCAACATGTACTGCATGTCCTGCACCATTCTTCCACATCTTGCCTCATACCTATCCAGGAAAAACCTCTGTCATAGGTGACTAAATGTCTTTTTAACTCCGAGACGTCCTCCCGTTAAACTATCATGGGATTGATGCAGCACAACTTTCCGTAACTTCCTCGGTATAACCGTTTGCCAGGTCGTCACTTGCCCACCTACAGTTTCCCATCTCTGAAGAAGAATAACATCTTCAAGCTTCAACTGGTCCCATTGTGCCCAATAGTTCTTTGTCACAGGGCTTAAGCTAGACATCTTCTCCCAAGCAGGGTGCAAAACACTTGCTTTTAGAAAATCAATTATTGGCTTAAAATCTTGGTCTTTCTCCTGCTCTGTTTTAATATCAATACCTTGTTCCATTTCACCATCATCAACTCCTTCAGTTACTTTGATTTCAGCTTGATGACACCTGGTTAGCTCAATCTCTCTTTTGCAGCAATGTCTGCAGTCATTTTTGCAGGGTCTTCAGCTCAGTCCATCGGCATTACCATGAGATTTTCCTTCTCTGTATTCAGTATTGTAATTATACTGGTCTATTTTTCCGATCCAACGTGCCAGTTGTCCTCTGGGTTAT